TTACTTTAATTAGTTCAGCTTCCATCTCATCAACCACAAGCCACCCCAAAAAAGGCAGAATGATGCAAAGGCAAGAAGGGGAGGTGATCTTCAGGCTTTTTCTGGGATGGGGGGGAAACAGAAAACCCCACAACAAAACAGATTGGACATCCAAGAATGGAGATGGCTGAAATCACCAGTCTCTTTGGGAAGCCTTAGCCTTTCCTTTCAGCACATCAAGTTAAGGGAATATTTTGTTCTTTATCATTTCCCTGCAGTCAGACAGGGGATTGGCAAGTGCTGGTGCACAGGTAAATGGATTTACAGCTGCTTCCAGGGCACAGAAGTAATTCAGGGATGGCTAAACACACACTAATACCTGAGTGAATCACAGCAAAGTCGATTGGTCTATACACAGGAATTTTGGATGATACCCTCAGAAGGGTACCCACAGGGTATGAAGTTTTACCTCCAGGAATCTTGTAAGTGCTTGCTTTCTTCATGGAGAACATGCCTACAGGGAAACTCTACAGTTTATGTCATCCCATCTTGTTATACCTTTACAACTGGAAGAACCCACCTGTGCAGGTCCCTTTGTCCTTGTTAAATGATGTAATTTCCTGCTCTGATTTCCCTTTTGGAAAGGAGTTTGTCTTTCTTAAGTGAGCTCAAAATGCTCTCCAGAATCAGACCGTGTTTGCAAGCCTGGAACATAACCCAGCTTTTTTAGTAATGCCCTCAGGGTCTGAAATGGCATTATTTTAAATTGCAGAGAGGCGTATCAGTGTGATAGTTGTGGATCATAGAATAAATTTGTTTTACAGTAACCCCCATGCTGGTAACCAGAGCTTCAGCATGCAGAACATGAGCCTGTCTGCATGAGATGCCTGCAGGCAGAGGGAGCCCACCAGAGCTGCCCATGGGCAAAAAGAGGCACAAGCAGCTACAGGCACGAGCAGCTACATAATTGTCACACGTTTTTCATACTACTGCACAGCTCAAAGGGGTAAAAATAACCCTAATAGACAGTCTAACTAGGTCTGTATGGAAAGGGTTAAAGGCTGTCCAGAGAAAGGCAGAGGGGATGTAGTGGAGCTGTATGTACATTGTAGTTAAACCCAGCACACTTTCAGCTGGCAGGGCCTCTGGGCACCTGGAATTGCTTTCTTGCCCTGGTGTCTGCCCAGTCAGGTTGATGTGAGCTGTCCTCAGGCTCTTTGGTGGGTCCTGGCCCCACAGAGTGGTTCCTCAGGGTGGTGAGCTGCAGAAAATTACCCTGGGTGTAGGTGTGGCTCAGTGTAGGTGGATAAGTGTTGAAGCATAAATTTGCCCTCACCTCAGCATCTCTCTTAACTTCATGCTTCCCAACCAAGAACCCTGTCCCATGCCCTGGGGTCTAACAGTGTAAATACCAGCCAGGCTGGGGACAGATCCCCAGGTTCAGAGCCTTTCCATCTCAGCAGGTGTAACCCATAAGAGGACACAGAGCAGATGGCACTAAGCAAGCTGTGCAAAGTCTTTCCCAAAAAGTGACTCTTTGCCAAAGTAAATTACTATCAGTTGTCATTTAAATGAGAATAAGCTTCACTGATTACTTTTTGCATAATCATTCAGAATGAAACCAGATGTTCCTCAGGCCATGCTTTAAAGCTGCAATGCACATTTAGAGGTAGGCAAGAAAATTCTCACAAGAAAAAGGATATTGAGTCTTGTTAGTGAACTGGTTTATCTGAAAAAAACTTATCTTTTATTGATGATGAAAGTATATTTCTGAATCAGAAGCCATTTCCCAGCTGTTAGACAAAGCTATATGGAAATTGCCATCCCAGCGATGTTAATATTGCCCCAGCATGAGTCAAGCTTTCGTTTGTTTTTAAAAAGGAACAGTAACTTCCCTTCAGGAAGACTGCTCTGAACCACAGTTAGGTTTGGGCAAGTGTTTTAACAGAATGATTTTCTGGGTTTAATTATTTTAATTTTACTTGCTTGGTACCTTTACATTTCTTGATGTGGCAGATTTTCAGTCTACAGCCAGGAATCTGGTCTGCAGTGTTGTATGAGGCTTCAGAAGGAAGCAAATCACTATCTAAATCATCAGAGAAATTCTTTTTGGTTATCCAGTCTGTTTGAAATTGTCAGGGCAACTCCTTTTCCTCCTAGCTTATAAGACCTAAAACATCCCCACCTATGTATGTTTCTTCCTGCTGAAAGAATATTTATAGCATTTCTGACCTTTGAATGAACTTTGAAGAATCAATAACAGCAAAGTGGAGAGCAGGTCAGCAGCAGTTTTACTCTTGACTGAGTGTAGCCAGTATTCAGCTTGGAATATCTAATATATGTTTGGAACTACCATAAATATTTAAGCAACATTTTTGCAGGAAATTTGCAGACTTCTGTAGTGCTGTCATGTAGCTACCATCTGAAGGATACAAGGCCAGAGCCATTGGTGTCATTGATGGGTTTTTAAGTTGTTGTGTGTCAGTTTTTTACATGGCAGAACTTCTACAAAAAGCCTTGAAAGGTGGTGCTGAAGAATTATTTTCTTAGCTGTATTTTGCTGCTGAACAAATGTAAGCAAATTAGAAACTGTTATGACTCACCACAACTGAAACACCATCCATTTCCTTCCACTCCAGATTAGAATAAAAAAATGGACAGTCGCCCCTTGATGTGTGAGCACAAGCAGCCATATGAGATGGTTCAAGACAAGATTTATCCATTCAGAGTTGTTACCCCTATGACCCTACAACTCAAATAATTTAAAGGACCTTTCCTAATTCCTCAAATTTATGAAGTTCCTTCCAAAATCAAAGTGTTCCCATAATGAACTAGACATCTCAGTGCTGTTTCCTGCCTCCTTCTGAAGGGGAAATTAATTGCACTTTATTTCATTACCTAAAAGCAAAATTTGTCACTTAATTAAATCCTTTCCTTCTCCAGAGCTGGCACCCCAGAAAATTCTTGTTGCACCGTCTTTTGCCTACCACAGGTTCCTGGCCAACTAGTTCAGATTGTAACTGTGCATTAGAAGCCTAAATTCCAAGTGCCTTGAGGTAAATGGGATGAATCCCATTGCTAGGGGTGACAGTAATAGCTCTCACAGAGCAAGAGGTCTTCTGCCTTGTAATTAGAGTGAATTTTTGCAGCCAGGACTTCCCTTCATGCCATTACATAGAGGTAGCAAGCAGGATTTTGCTCTTTACTGGAGCCTCCTGAAACTGCTGTAATACACAGGGCATTTGTTTGCAAATACAATGTCATTATTCAGAAAATATCTCATAAAAGCTTAATTTTTGTCCAGTATGTTCCTGATTAACTGAAATGGAAAGACAATGATAGCGATACAAATCCTCAAAAATTTCAAAAAACTTTATAACATCTCAAAAGAGTTGTTTTCATAAGTTTCTTTTTCTATGTCCATGTCATTTGAAGATTATGTCTACTTGTTCAGCCAACCATCCAAATATGTCTAAAAATACCAGGAATATAAAATAAATTTACTGTTATGACAACTTTTGTTTGTTCAGAAGTTGTTTGATCAAAGGTTTTAATAGTCAGGAAATTATGATTTTTTATTAACGGATGCTAACGTATTTATTGTTATTGTAATTAATGTTACATTCCTGAAGAAGAACAAAGGAAAACATTTCCACACAAGTTTTACATGAATTGTTAACGTCAACTTTGAATTTCCTTGTTTTTTCCTAGTTTATAAAACAGCCTTAATATAGAATCATTTTGTCTCCATTTCTCCAAATTTGTAGATTCATAATATTAAAGAATGGATTCATTCCTCTCTCCACATACCCATTTCCTTCTTTTTGCTTATTTTTTAATTTCTTTCCAAGATCAATTTATTTCTCCATGTACATCTTCAGTGCTCTTAAAACATAAAGCTGTCTTAGCATTTCACTGTTCTCCAAAATTTGCATTTCAGCTTTCAGCAGTCTCTAACCAAGTGGAAGTTGCTTTTTTCCTCTTATTCCTGACACATTTTAAGTGCTTTGAAAAATTCTCTAAAGCAAGAGAAAAACTGAAGTTCTGATGTTACACCTAAGTCAGATCTAAGTACTGTATTGGTTTCTAACTCTTCTGTCTCTAGCATAAAATTAAGACATGGTTGAGACTAAATAACAAAATCAACCTTTTGTTTCACCAGTTCAATAGACAAAAGACATTCATATTAATACTTCTGATGAAATTGTAGTTTATCGGTTCATTGAGACTGCTGTTTTGGCTCCAGCACGAAGCTGAAGTTCATCTGGCAATAACACAGGGATTTGAAAAAGCAACAATGTTACATGGACACTGGGACAGATCCATGCTTTGGAACCAGCCAGAGACAAAGCCCATGGCAGAGCTGGGTGATTCAGTTTCTACTGAATTTTCTAATTTGCTGACACTGCCAGAGTGGGTACATGTCAATTTGGGTTATACCACCATCAGCAACATTGGGGTTGTTGTACGCTCATCATTTGTCCACTCATCATTTCTTCAAAACTGTATGATAACTGGAACTGCTCATTGTTTGTGCTGATCTAAGGCTGGTGAATGCCCTTAAGAGCTGCTTCAGTCTGTTTTGTTGGGTTTATGTCAGTGTTTAAAAACTGTGGGTCATTTTTATGCATGGTAAGGTACATGCTGTCTCTTACAGTTTGTTTTATCTCATGGTTTCACCTTCATCCGTGGCAGCTCCATCAGTCTGGTCTGTGAGGCCTCCTGTCTTCACTGCTGCAGTGTTTGGGTGGCAAAGTCCATGAATTTAGGTCCTTAGGTCTTCTTCTATAGTCAGTGCACACAAGGCTCAGCTGCTTCTTTTCTCACAAATATCTGCCTACCCCCAGCTACCAAACACCTTGACTGAATCCACAGTCAGTACCAGACCTGGAGCCAGACACTGGAGCTGGTTTAATGTCAAAATAGACCAGCTGTGCACAGGCAGCTTCTCACACATCTCACAAGTACAGGAGGATGGGCTGGTCTCACTAACAGCATGCAATTTGGCTTGGTGATTTCAGAAAATGACGAGGAGCAGGAGGCTCTGCTGTCACTGGACAAGCCTGGTTGGTATTCCCAAGGTAATGCTATCCAGCTTTATGATCTACTGAAGAAGATGACTGGCAAGTTGGACCCCAAGGTATGTTACAAGTGAGAGTAAATCTTTCTGAAAATACCCTGTTTCACTCAAGAATTCACCAGACAAACTTTCATTATAGTTATTGATGTGATTGGTTCTGCAGCCCAGAACTGGAAGTAGCATATTTGTCTTCTTATCAGTAGAATATGTTATCCTTCTAGATGTAAATTTTCTGTATGCAGGGTAAACATTTCAGCAGCTTTGGGAAGAATCAGGCTGTAATCAGGAAATACCCCTGAGGAAATAGATCATAAAGATTAAAAGATAGCATCAGTAAAAACTAGGAGTATGTTAAGTACAGGTGTGGATAGGTAAAAGTGCCACTAAAGATGGTGCAACAACATTTTTTCATAGTGAATAAATGCCTCCCTGGACACAGAAGAGTTTTGAGTCACCAATAAGAATGTTCTGTCTTGTTTCCAGTGTAGTCTAAAACTTGTTCCAGTTTAGTGTATTTTTCTGGTAATCTTCCTGTGGCTTCCCGTCAGGGTATTTCTGTCAGCCAAAAAACTCACACTTCCTTTTGCTGGTCCCAGTTAGGCTTCCTTTTCCAATGCCCCTGGAGGGTAAGAGCGAGGAGGGTGTGTGGGGCCAGCATTTCCCTTATGGAGCTGGTTGAAGATAAAACCCCAAACTTGACATTAATAGGATCTCTGCATGTTTTGACCAAGTGTAAACATGGAGGAATTTTTATTAGGTCATTTGAAGGCTCTTTTTCTCTCTCTGTGAAATACAGTTTGCTTGTGTTTTCCTCATATACAATGAACTTCTAATTTGCTTCTTCTCTCACAGGTTGTTTATTTTGGTGACAGTATGCACTCAGATATTTTCCCAGCTCATCACTATAGCAACTGGGAAACTGTCTTCATCTTAGAGGAGCTTCTAGGGGACAAAGGTATAGTGCCTGCAAAGGCTGAATCTGAGCCACTGGAGAAGAAAGGAAAATATGAGGTAAGGGTTCCTGCAGAAGTTACCTGGAACAGAATAAAGTAAATTACAAAAAAGCCTCATGTCACCTGCACTAGGAATGAACCTGCTTGTCTTACCAGGGTGCTGGCAGCATCAGCATCGCCCACAGATGTGTCCTCCTTGTCTTACCAGGAGGATGCTGTTCTGTCCCAGCTCAGCAATGCATGGGTGACACAGCACCTCTACCTGGAGCTAAACCATGGATCTCAGAAAAGGGGCTGTGTGTGCTCTCCCTTAGCAAGAACCTTTTTAGTAACAAGATCCCTCCATCCCACAAGAAAAAATTTCAAGCCCAGTTATCACAAGTCCAGTGTCTGAACTCTGCTGAGTTCATGGCGTTTCCCTGTGTGTTGTGGCCACCTGTAAACACAGAGGAATTTTTATTACATTGTTTTGAAGGTTGCTTTCTCTCTATGTGAAATATGGTTTGCTAGTGCTTTCCTTGTATACAAATAACTTTTAATTTGCTGCTTCCCTCACAGGTTGTTATTTTGGTGACAGCTGTGCTCAGATAAGAGGGGCAGCTTCAAAATCTGGCCCAGTGCAGACTTACTGATAGTTACCTCAGATAAATAATATGATTTTCAGGTTGATCACTGTTGGGAAGCAGGGCCTTAGCACTGCTGTCACCCTTTAATTCTCCCACAGAAGGTTGAAGGTTACTATGGTTTATCCTTTCCTCTCCTCCCAAAGTAGATAGAAAACAGCACTGAGATGGGTGATGAGGCAGCACTGTACCTCCAGCATGTCCCATGTAGGTAGGAACTACAGGAAGGCTTCACTCTCCATTTCATGGAGTATCTCTTCATTTCATGTGCTACTAAATAAATAGGTCATTTTCTTCTAGTTGCATAAAAATACTTGTAACGCTCTAAACTTTATTTTTCTTTTAAAATAATTACTCTTTGTGATTAAAAGTTGACTTACCAATAGAAAAGATCTGGGAGGTGCATTTATACTTGGTGTAGTTTTAATCCAAATGCTATAAAAGCTCCTGGTTTTAATGTAGAAAAGGGTCTCTTCAATGGGACTAAAACAATATAGATGTGATATCTTTATCTTATTTTTAATAGACATATCTCATCTTTTCCCCCACTACCCTGATTTCTAAACTATAGTCAGACAAAGACATTTCAGTCACTGAAATAAGGAAATGTAATCATTAATGTTTAGGCTTTTTCCTGGGTTGTAAATAAACAAAAATAAAGTAAAAAAAATTTAGTATCGTATCAAGAGAATGTATTTCTCAGTAGGAAGAGGAGGTAGGGGAAGAAGAGCTAGTAACACATACAGGTTAACACAATTTGATTTAAATAATTAATACTTTAAAAATAACTCAAATCCTCCATAAATTTGTTCATTCTCTGACTGGAGATTCTGCTGCATTGCTGCATAAAACTTAAGGTTTGGGGGATTTGTTCAACGAGGTTTCTTAAGCATGTTCAATATATGCTTTTGAAGCACACATTTTTAAACAGAGAGACAGAAGGTGGTTCTTTTCCTGGAAGTACAAAGGGTAATGGATTGGTTTGTTTCTGAGCCCACAATGATGATTTGGTTTTCCCTTGTTGCGACTTCTCTGCTCACAAGATCCATCTTCTCTATCACAGCAGTTGTCAAGCAGCAAATTGAGACTTTTAGACAGGTGCTTGACATTTCACTGACACTGTAGCACTCCTGACAAGAGATTGCAGTATCTCAGGGAGACACCACCCCTGCCACACACAGCCCCTGTTCCTTTTACATCCGCTACCAGTGACAGCGAGCAAGCAAGGGAGAAATGAATTGCGTTGATTAAAGGAACCTGAACCGGGGGGCCGTGGCAGGTCAGTGGTGTTATTTCATTACCAGGCTGCTCACTGGAGTCTGAACAACAGGTCACATCCATATCTCTGCAGTTGACTGGGCACCACTAACTTAACAGGACTAGTTCAAAGGGACTCCCTTTACAAACCTACGAGAGTTTTATTTTCATTTCCCCAAGCAACTTCTCCCATTAACCCTTTGGTTAAGAAGGGAGAAAAGCCAATTCAAAGGATTGTACAAAGTCAGGTGTTTCTGGAAAGTTAGTCACAGATTAGATTTCATCTAGTTAATCAGCCTTAGCATTCATTGGCAATAAAATACAGTACTACTGTAGATTTTCCATGCCATGCTGTGTGTGCAGAGAGGGACTGAAAACTTAATACATGGTGCAACTCTCAATGCTATCACTCTTTGCAAAATACTATTAAAGTAAGAAAGTATTACTTTAATTGGCAATTGCATCTTTCAGAAAGAAATGACAAAAATCTGGTTTTTGACTGAAATACCAGTTGTTTGACTGGTATTTCATCACTAACAGTGAGAGGGGAAGAAAACAACCTCCTCACACACCAAGTGGGAGACTTGTGATTTCCATTTTCATTTGCAGTTTTTGTCTTTTCCCTTCAATTAAATGCATGATATAAGCCAGATACACATAACTGTGAAATTATGGTAACAACTGCAGTTCTTTTAAGTATGTGAGTCATAACCAAATAAGCAGAGAATAGCAAACTAAAAACTATTTATGCAGTTATTTGGCTTCTAAGTAAATTGCAGCATGCAGGGTGAATAAAAATACAAGGCATTGTGTTGAAACACGATTTGCCTCCCTCCTAGAATTGGGGGTTTGTTTGTTTGGATGGAGGCTTTGGTTTTGCATTCTGTTCTTTAAATGTGTGATCAGTTCCATCAATGAAAACTCAAAAGGAAAGCTGGAATTTGTCCCAGGATTTCGAAGAAAATTATTACAGAGGAGCTGTCAGTGTGTAAATGAATGGCTTATATGAATGAATGGAGCAGAAATTAAATAATTCATTGGTGGATATACATGATAATTTTGTAAGTAGAAGGGAAAATGTAATTTTTACAATATTGACTGGTTTGTTGTAGAAGTCAGGTCTGTAATCCCTGTATTTCCATTAACTCCCTTGGTGTGACCATAGACAAGGCTATTTCCTTTGTGCCTTTTGGCTCTGTTTGTCTCTTTATTCCTGTTTATCTTTGGCACAAATCTAACAGTACTTTCTGGAACAACCTGAGGTGTTGTTGTGAAGCCTGGTGTGTTAAAGCCATATTCCTAGGGCAATACCCTGAAGTGCAGCACATTTTACTTTAAATTTGCTAATAGTGATCCCTGTTGTAGTTTAGCTACAATATTCATGTGTGAAATGTTTCATATTTGCATGATGTGTAGGAGAGCAGGTTCTGTGCAACAGAATTCAGACCAGTGCCTGGTTTGTCCATTTGTGTCATTCAGGGACATCCCATCACTGTGGTCAGCACAGCTGTGCTGACAGAAACATCTCAAATACTATTACACCAGAAAAACAGTGTTTTGAGCATTAATTTTTTTTGTGGCATCAAGAATCAGTGGTGTGTTATTAGCTCAGGACAAAGCATACAATTATCAGTATCATCACTCATACTGGATGTATTCCTCAGGCTCTGTGCTTGCTATGGCATAGATGGCAAATCTGCATCTAAATAAAGCCCTTAAAAATACTATTGATCTTCCACTCCTCTCTCCTTTACATCTTTCATTCTTTCATCCCTTTACCAAATGTAGAATGTAGAGCTTGGCTCCCTGCTAATTAGTATTTTAGAAAGGTCATTTGTAAGCTAACTAATCAGCGCTACCCAAGGGTCCTATTAACAGATTCTGTCAATTCTGCTTACAGGCCCTATTTGTCTAGAGTTAGCGAAGCAAAGATGGTAGCACGTACTTCAGGTGTTTTGACTTTGTGGAAGGCCCTGGGACTCAGGAATTTCTGATACCATCCCTATTTCCCTGAAGTGTAGGTGTTTTCTTCAAGGCTTTGTACCCTGAACTGGCACAATCAACATCTGACCTGACCTGCTGCTGTCTGACCAGTATGCCTGAGAGCAAATCCATATGCCTGGGGGATTTGCATGAGAAAGAGGGATTGCCCAGCACTTTCCAGGATCTGCTGTCCTGCTGTGAGAGCAAATTCTGTGCGTGGGGACTGCAGGAATGGCTGATGCATCTTGCAGAGCTCATCAGCCCTGCTGCTGGGCATGTGCCTCCAGGCATGTGAGCAGCCACAGTGAGAGGAGCCCTTTCCTCATTTCACAGATGTACAGATCCATGGTGTGTGGTCTGTCCTTCGTTGCAGGCTCTGATGTGTGTTGCAGGTGAGATAAGGACATTTTCAGGGCATCAGTTAGGGATGGAAGGGGGAGCAATGTCAGATGTTCCTAGGGTTGTGGTCAAAGTTTTGAGTGCTCTTTCCAAATTTTAAATCGAGATTTAGCCTACCAGACCAGCCCTGTCATGTGTAGATAAGCCAGCAGCAAAATGATGGGAGCTCTGCACTAGGTGATGACAAGTCTTATATCTAACCGGGTTTGATTTCACCAAGGGCTTGGGTTGTAAATCCAAAATTTAACTCCCTGCTCCTTAATAAAGAAGAAAATCCCACTCTAGAATCAAACTTCTGTAAAAATCAGTTCATTTCCTCAGGTTACATTTTTAATTGTCCACTGAACTAACCATCCACTTCAGAAAGCAGAACCCTCACATCTTCTCTCTTATCAATAAACAGGACCCTGTCTTTTGTACAAATGTTTATGTGGGCCAGTAGTGAGGTTGTTGTTTTGATTAATCACCTGAACAGCTGTAACAGCCTTAAGAGTTTTCTGCATGTGTCATCCAGCTGGCAAACAGATTTTAATTCATCAGAGCATCTAAACTTAATTATAACTGATGCAAAGTCCTGGGATTGGCATAGAAAAATAAGATTTAGTGAGAGAAAAAAGAGAGTAACATGCTGTCCCTTTGTGCAAGGCATTAAAAAACAAACAAAAAAGCCCAGGGCTTAAGTTAAATGCTTATTCTGAAACAAAAGATAGGAGGTTTTTTCCAACTTATTTACATCAGAATACAGAAATTAATGTCTACATTTGTTGAAATCAGTACTTCCCCCCCCCATTTAAACTCAGAGGATAAACTGTAGCACAGACTGATGGAAGTGTGGCTCTGTGTTTACTGGTGTGGTGTGTTTGGCTGCCTCAACCACTTCCTTGTGATCAAAAGATACAGGCCTCTGTCATAAACACAAACGATTCCAGCAGGTTCTCAAAACTGTTCAGAGAGAGGTTAAATGGAGAATAAAGTAGAAAAGTTCACAAACCTGGAGGCACACAAACTGCTGTATCTGTTCTGCAAGTCTGAATGTTACTTTGCACACGAATTACTTTAACAGATTTTCTACAGTGTAGTTTTGTTTCCCGTTTTTTCATCTTTCTGTAGATGTGTCCTGGCATTTTATTCTGATTGCTCATGGCAGTATATAGCAGGTTTCAAGATGAACTTGTAAAAAGTCAGTTTTTCCAAGGCTGCTTTAATGGCTTTTTTAAAACAGATGTTGTTGTCTGAAAATATACATTTAAAAAATTAGTATTCCACAATTTTCTAGGCAACTGGCTGTCTCTCCATGGATTCTGTGGCTCTGTTTTCACTCATTCCTCAGCTCAGAAACAGATAACACAGGTGGCATGGTGCATTCTTTGCAGTTACTCCACCCAGCATGAGGAAGCTCCTTTTCCCCCAGGAGGAGATCCCAGCTGTAACACAGCCTCTCCAGCAGAGAAGGACAGCAAGCAATTCACACTATCATAAACAGAAAAACAGGGAAAATAGAAGGGGCTTTCTTAAAAGGTTTAAAAACTATTTACAGTTAACTTTTTATGTCCTAGGGAATCCATAAATTGTATAAACAGGAACTTGGGGACTTATGAGAAGAAGATTCTTATTGTATTGTTGTCGACTTTATATTTTAAAGCTACATTGCTCCTGAGATACAATATAGGCTTCCCAGACAATCAGAAAAACACTAGAGTTCCCTAAACTAATGCTTGTGGATAAATAAAGATTTTTTTTTTTTAAGCTAATATATTTATTTTTTTTTTTTTCAGGGAGATCAGCTCAAAGTTCCTTACTTTGTATCTAAACAGTGGGGCTCTTTCTTCATGGACAGATTGCCAGGCCTGGAAAATGCAGAGGAGACCTTAGTTCACACGTGGTCCTGTAAATGTATTAGCACCTACAGCACTATTGCAATCCCTAGTCTGGAAGCAATAGCAGGTAAGGAAGATGTTTGGGGCTTTTTTCTAGTGAACATGCAGCATTCATAGTAAGCTTGTAGTGCTGTAGACCTGGTTTTGAGATTGCATGTATCTAAAATACATTCAAAATACTCTGTTCATATGATGCAACACTTAGCACTAGCGGCCATTGATTGATGTTTGTGCTTTTAATTGTTGCCTGATACACCAGGGGTTTTGTTTGTGTCTGCAAATAGGAGGTGTTTAATTGATTCACTGTTAGAGATAGGGTGCAACATTTACCGGACTGTAGATTAGTTCCTGAATCTGGTCCCTACTTCCCCACTGTGATTTGCTGTTTCTACTTTCAGTGGTGAGATACATTCGAAACAAACAACATGCAAAGTTACTTGGGAGTGTTATACTTACAAAAAACACAGATCTGGCTTGTTACACTTCCCCTATCAGCTTGCTGTAACTTTGCAGCTACAGTACGTTCCTGGGATTACAAAGTGATGATGAGGACCCCCATGTGCTCCATCTATCATTTTGCATTACTAAACTTTGTCCATATCCATACCTAAAGGAAGAAACTAATTATTAAATGAATGAAGAACACAGCAAGCATTTACTTTACTAACCCCTCCATTCAGCATCTGTTTCTTGCTTCATGCAGAAGACCAGGGAATAAAAGGTTTGTTGCAAGAGAGCATTTCAGGCTTGCCCAGCAGTGACTTCTACAGCAGGACACATGATAGACCTTTTCTTTGCAACCATATTTTACACACGTACTTACATTGTATGGATATCTCAAAACAGAACAATCATAGATGCCACAATTTATTTATGCCTCCCATATTTGCCATTTTGCAATCTATTTCAGCCCAAAGACACAAAAGCCCAAACATACCAAGGAAAATGCCAACAGAGAGATAATTTCTGTAAAACTCCCATCTAATACCCTTTCCAGGGTCATGCTTGTGTGTGTCTTGTTTTGGAAGTGTTGACCAAGAGAAAATGGTCAGCCACAGTCTGAAATTTGCCTCCCAGGCAGCTCCCCCTCCAACCACAGCTCAGTTTAAAGGACAAGCAAGGCCTCTCAACCTCAAATGTATGACAGTCTTTCCAGCTACAGATGAAAGGGTGTGAGCCCATAAGGCATATCTGGGCACTTAGTGATAGGATAGCTGCCTGCCATCAGCCATGGAGCTCCTGCAAAGCTCCTGTTTCTCCATGAGGAGGGACACTGTGTGCTGTCCCTCACTGCACTGAACCACTGCTGGGGCAGGGGGTCATGTCTGTAAAAGTCAAACCCCAGTGCAAAAGGACAGGGGAGAAATAATGTTTTAAACTTGCAGCTGTGCACTGGACAGCAGACTCAAAGTTGAAGGTATGAGAACATCTCTGCTTTGTTACAGAGAGAGGTATTTCTTGTTTGTTTGTGTGGAAGAGCAGATGTTCATTATTACGGATGTTAAGGAATTCCTGACTCCTCTTGAATACCTTGTCTGACTCCTGTCACAGCAAGCTGTGAGAATCCCTGCTCTGCCAAGCCCTGAAGTTTTTGGCTGCAGCTGTAAGTCATATCTTAGCTACAGCTATTTGCTAGAGGAGATTGAAATGGGTTATGCGAGTTTGATGCTCTTCCAGCTTTTCCTTTCCCATTCATCTGCTTCAATTACCAGCAGAGGACTTTCCACTGCCAAGCTGCAAAAACTCAGGCCTTTCCTCAAGATCCCCTGAGCCCAGTTGTGCAGCCAGGCTGCCACCGTGCTGAGCACATGAGCCCAGCTCCCAGGCAGGATGTGCTGACTGCGTGAGCTCAGCTCAGGCTGGCTCAGCCTTGGCAGCACCTCGCTCAGCCTGACCCAGCCACACAAGCTGCCACCTCGCTGGAGGTGCCCTGCAGCCTCCTGTGAGCTGGGTGTTGACAAGGGCTTCTCTGTCAACAATGTCTGACCTGGCTTTTCTACACCTGTGTGAGCAGTAGTAAGTGCCACGTACAAGTCAGGATGCCAACGGCTTGTGGTCTGCAAAAATATTTGGTGAAATGTGGCAGATGGCTGCAGTGCTGGCTTTAAGATTGATTCTTGTTGTTTGGCTGCAGTGAGTGTCTGTGCATAAAGAACAGCTTGGTTTACTTCTCGTGACACATTGAAAAAGATTATTCCAAAGACTATTCAGCATTACTGAATACTAGTAACTCACTTACTCAATACCAGTTCAAAGACGCTTTAGAAGTTCTGAACTTTAATCTCGCCTCTGGCAAGGAGGGTGTTACGGGAATTGCACACTGTTCATCATCTAAACTCTCCTCAGATTCTCTGAAGAGACACTGGCATTTTCTTTGTGCATGAAAGAGTATATTTCATTTATTGTTAAAATTCCTCAAAGGAGACCTTCTACAATACCTTCTGTGCACTTTCATCAGTTTGGATTGGAAGTCAGATACGTGTTATATTGACAGTACATGGTTAATAAAATAGGGGAAGCCGATGTCCCTACTTCCATTCTACATGCCTCGCTCACAAATCCATCTGTTTCTCCACTTTTCTGCCATGAATCTCTCCTCATTTACAGCTCCCTTACAGATTTTTAAAGCACAATTATATCATAAGACAGATTTTCCAAACTGGGATGCATTACTGTGGGAATGTTGCTTTAGTGCTCCCACATGGAAATTAAAGGTGTAGGGGTCTCTCCGAAGAATTACATTCTGCATAAACCACAGTTTCCAGAACATCTTTCTCCACTTCAGAAGTTAGGTGCGAGCCAAGTAGAGGACGATTACTCTTATCTTTCCTACCTGAATAATCTGAACTTTACCTTCAAGGACAGCGACCACTATTCTGTGACCACATGATCACATTTCCAGATCCCCATGTTAATAATTGTATTTCCTGCATCATATGGATATTCCAACAGTAATTTCAACAATTTCAAAGATACCATTTCTGACAGGTCTTTTGATTAACAGTTCTTTGATTAAAATATGATACACATATTTCAACCTAATGCTTTGCTTTTCAATCTCACTATATTTGGTATTTTTATAAAAGCTACACTTCAAAAAATTCCATGAGGAGTTTTAGAGCTATGGAGGAGATTTTTGTAAGGTTTTTTTGTCATTATAAAGAAAAGATCAAGAAAGTGGGCTCTAAATTGTAATAAGGAGAACATAACTTCTTTTCTAATTTCATCATTCTTAACCTAATGTTGTAAATTTGTCTCATAACCTCTGAATGGTGAATTTTGTCATAGGATTAAAAATTACTGCAAGCAAGAAAAGGAGATTGAGTGATGTTGCAGCTCAAGAGAATTTCATTTCAGAGAGGAATTGGTGCAATTGTAAATGTTTTATGAAGACAGAGTTCATTTCACACTTTGGAGAGATTTGATAACCAAGCTTGTGTCATGCATGAGGATAATGCATTTTTTTAATCTTGCATGCAATATGAAATTATATCAGGGTTTGCCCATATGGCTGCTTAAGTTTTTCTTCATGCCGTATTGTTATTTCAGTTAGCTAGAGCTAGAGAAAAAACCTCCATAATAATTAACCAAAGCTGTCTCTTTAAAGATGCCTACAGATCCCTGCCACTTTCTGCGGGAGTTTGAGTCGCCAGCCTGCTTGCTGTATAAATGTAATGATAAAATTGCCAGTGAACCATGACAAAGAAGTTCATGTTTCTGCTTAGAGCTGCAAATTATCTGCACAATGGAAAGCTCAAGGCAGCCGTGGCTGGGGCTCCAGAACTGGCAATGTGCAGGTCGCAGATACACGGGTCTGTCAGCAGAGATCAACTACAAATTGCAAACTTCACACACCATCCTCCGCATGTATTTTAAATGTGAATGCCCTGGAGCAATCAACTGTTGTCATGGAAGACATAAATTTCACTTATCTTGTGACATACTGATCACTGATCAGCCATATACTGCACTAATCAGCCATATACTGATTTCTGTATCCTGAACAGCAGCATTTGCAATTGTTGCTGAAGTGAAACAACAAAAAAAAAAAATCCCTTATGCTTTTTCACCCTAGTTCTATGTTTTTTCATTGACATTACATCACCTAAAGTAAAATCCAACTTATTTTAGAATTAAATTACAGCAGTCTTTGCTGTAAGTAGATTGACAGTAACTGTGCTCCTATTCAAATGATACAATAATATATAATTCCCTTAAACACACAGAACTATCTATATTATGCATTGCTAGTCAGCAGTAACCTTTCATATTTAATGCCTTATCTTACAACTGTGCTTTTGCTTGACAACTTCTGTGTAAGACTGTATCTATACAACAGCATCTAGGCACTAAGTTTATCAAAATGCTTTGAGGATTTAAACTGCTTTGGGAATTTGCTGTTACAAATAATAGTTGCTGCTACAAGGCCAAAGAGGTCATTTTTATAATTAAAGTTTTTATGCAAAAAAAGTACTCTTGCACTGGGTGGAAAATTGGTGTAAATACACAACAGTAACATTTCCGAGGTTTTATGGCCCTGAGGTTTCATACAAGGGAAAAAAAACAGATAATAAAGATAACTGAATACAGAGAAGATGTGTTCTGAGTGTATAAACAGCATCTTGATCTATGTGTCAGTTGAAAAACATCAGATAATGTAAATGTGATTCATCTGTTCCAAGAAACTAGTTTCAATATTCTCCTTTTAGAAGTAAAAAGTAAAAACATGCCCAACACAACCAACAGAAATAGGGCATCTATTTTTTTCAGCTGAAATAAACAGCATTTTAACCATAAAAAAAATTATTGTTCAATAACTCAGGACTAGTTTATAAAATGTCCTTGGGACCTAGTTACTTCCCAAATGGTCTGAGACCTCATCTTTACCACAGGATTTGACCACTTGATAGTGATTTTCAGTGTAGGAAGGACAGTATTCAGTGTGTTGCGGTTTGATCAGGCTTTCCTTCCTCCTCCAGAAAGGTGTATTGACTTGTGCCCCTGAAGACCGTGTCAAATCATGCAGAACCCAAAAGATTACTTCCTAGCCAATAGCTGACAGAAATG